AGAAGATAGGAAGTCATGAAATTTAATAAAATCAGATGGTCAAAGAATTAAGATTGAGATAAGCTTTACACTTGGTTCTCTACTTTCTGAATGCCAATATTGAAAGAACGGATGAGTTGAAAGATCTTGAGTAGAAACAGAAATAGAGGAAGAGAGTGAGAAGACAGTGCAACATGGAATGCATAAAAGTCCAAGCTTTAGGAAGAGGGAAGTTGATAGAACACCTTGAGATTGGAATGAAGAACTAAGTGGTCATCAAGAGCAGTTTTAAAGGAAAGATGACAAATTAGGCAAGTGTGCTCAAAAAAATTTCTGCTAAACTTCTGTTTTATGTTAAAACAAGTAAATGGGAATGAACTGTGGTTGAAACTCATATAGTCCTGATAGTGAAAGGACATTCCTTCTTTTTCACCAGCAAGCTCTTAGCTGAAGTCAAACATTCCCAGAGCTAACATCACCATCTGCCTCACCATTATTTCAGCTCTATCTAGGTGGTCCAGATGTCTAATTGTTTCTGACATTTGGATGAAGATACCCACGACAGTATGAACCTTCCATCTACCCTTCCCCAGATCAGTCCCTAAATCTAGCTCAGTTTCCATGGGTTCTTTCTGCCTGCCTTCAGCTCTTTGTTCCCAAGAACTTTTATTGCATAGTGCATTGTTAGAGCTAGTCACAATATGCTTATTTATACCCCATTCAGATGAATATTTTCCTTATACATTTACATAGTTTGTGCTATTTTTGTGTTTTTCAACATTTCAGCATGGTGAGAAATGTAAAGTTCTGACAAGTTTGTTATATATTAGGAAGGTTCTCTGGGTATTCCTGAAACCTGCAGCATCAGAAGGATTAAGTTCCTGAGGTAAGAAGTAAAGACTCTATTAGACAGTGACTATTGTCAAATATTTATTGAGTAAACAGAATAAATCAGACAGAAAAGGCAAAGAAAGTTAGAGATGTCACATGTAATATGTCAAGTTTGAGGAGCTGGGATGTGGATCCCTAATCTGGTGGCAAAGCCTGGAATTTCTACCATGTACCAAATGATCTCTTTTGGTCTCAATCATTTTCAGTCCAGTGGAAGAAGAGAAAACAGGCAGTCTGAAGTTTATCTAAGGTATTTTTCTTTTAAGTGGGTCTTTAAAAGTTTTGATTAGCTTTCAATCTTTTTAATATACATTATATAATTAAATATATATAAAGAAACCAGATTGTCAATGCCACTTTCTAACCTTATTCTGACAGTAGGTACTATTTACCATAAGGATGAGCCTAATTGAAAAGGTTCTCTGGTATATAAATAAATCTTAATTTAACTGAGATTTTTGATATTAATAAGACTTAAATAGGAATGGAATGCCCTGTTTTTACTATTCTAATAGTGGTCCTGATTGCTAAACACAATAAATGAGAACTTTATTAAGTATGTGCAGCTATGTAATGTAGATTAAAAAATAATAATAAAAAGCCCTAAAGATCATAGTTGAGTTGGAATCAGAGTTATGTTTGAAAACTGTGTTCAATTAAAATTGAACCAATAACCAGCATCTAGATAGGTTTTTATAAAGTACAATTCAGAAATAACTTGTATCACTAACCCCAATATTAAACTTCAGAACCCTGAAGTTGCAATACAAAACAAAATACAAAAACATAAAACAAAAACCCTGTGAATCATGAAGTCATCACTTTTTTTCCCCCCTTACATACTTGGAAAATGGTTAACAAAATTTTCTCATCTTGATCTCTTACTTGGTCTTTTTTTTTTTTTTTTTTTTTTTTTGTAGGCGTTTTTCTAACCCCATATTCCACAGCATGGTTTTCTGGAAATGCAACCATGATCAAACTGTTTTCTACCTAAAATTCTTCAGTGGTTTGTAAATACTTAGATATCCATGTAATCCAGGAGCCATTCCAGCTGTGGCTATTTGTCTCCTCATACTCATCTTGCACTCCTCACCCAGCCCTCCAGCCATGTTGAAATCTCATTTAGCTACTTCCAGGTCCTTGAATGTGTCTCTTGGCTTTCACATACACTCATCTATTTCTATCATTGCTTCTCTCAGCTTAGTTCATGGGAACCCTTTCTAGCCAGTTGAGTCTTGCTGGATGCACTTCTGTAAGCTTCTATTTACTTCCTATTCCATAGTACTTCTTATGCTATTGTACTTATGAAATTTTCAATATTCTCAGCCAATAATTCCATAAGGGAAGGTACAATTTTTGCTTTGTGCAAGTCTCTGCTTCTAACACTGCAGGTGTATAAACAATGACTATTTTAGATAACACACTAATGGTCCAGATGGTTGGAATTTTTAGGGCTCCAGCATATGATTGTGATGACCAGGAAGATGAATATAATGGTAAGCATTCATAGTGCTAATGGGAGACATCATTAAGTGCTTACATAGTGCTGGGACCTGTGTTAAGTGATTTTTATCATTATATTGCTTATTTGTTATGAAAGTTATACAATGTAGATATTATTTATATTTTGGAGGGGCAAGAAAATTGAGACTTAGAGACATTATATAACTTGTTTTTTTTTATGATTTTGAAAACAAAAACAATTTTATTTATTTATTTATTTATTTTTTTTATTTTTTTTTTTTTATTGATTGTTCAAAACATTACAGAGCTCAAGACATATCATCTTTCATACATTCGACTCAATTGAGATTTGAACTCCCCAAATACATAATACAGACTCACTTCTGTTACATACTCACGTTTTTACATAATGGCATATTAGTGACTGTTGTATTCTGCTACCTTTCCTATCCCCTACTATCCCCCCTCCCCTCCCCTCCCCTCCCATCTTCCCTCTCTACCTCCTCTGCTGTTGTTCAGTTCTCTCCCCTTTTTTCCCCCCACCCCCTTTCCCCTCATAACCTCTTATAATTTTGTGTATCACTGAAGGTCTCCTACCATTTCCATATGTTTTCCCTTCTCTCTTCCTTTCTCTCCCCCCATTCGTCTTAGTTTACTGGTAGTCTTTTCCTCATGCTCTTCCTTCCTGATCTATTCTTAGTGGCTCTCTTTATATCAAAGAAGACATTTGACATTTGTTTTTTAGGGCTTGGCTAGCTTCACTTAGCATAATCTGCTCTATAACTTGTTGATGGTTGATAGCCAGTAAGTGATGAAGTCAGGATCCATGGGTAATAATTGGAATATAGTTACAACTTGGCTGTATGTCCTTAACAATGAGGTATAGAGTTGTAGTTATTGGGTTTAGAAATTTTAAGGATTAGGATAATAGTAAATGAAAAAAGGAGAAGGGAGCAGATATTGGCAATCTTCATAAATTTGCTAATACTTTATTAATGCTACTGAGGATTAAATACATGAGTGATTTATTACTGAAATGCGTCCTTCCCTTTGGATTTTTTTTTAAATTTGGAGACAGGGTCTCATTAAGTTACTTGGGACCTCTTTAAGTCACTGAGACTGTCCTTGAACTTGCAGTCCTCCTGCCTTATTCTCCTGAGTCACTGGGATTACAGACATGCACCTACACTTACACTTTATTTTGTTGTTTTTAGTAGGAAGAATCAATTATGCCATACTTTCACAAAGAAAAGTCAAGTTTTCTTGGACAATTAGGAAAAAGAGAATATCTGGAAAAGAAAAGTCCTTTCAAGCAAAAAATGGCAATCTTACTCCAATTTTTCTCCAACCTATACATTGTCCTTAGTTCAACATACTGCTGAGCTTGTGTCTGGAACCACTGTCATAAAGGAGTGGTTTAGAGTTCAGGAGTCAAACACTCAAGACCTTGATTTTGTTAATTATTACCAATAATTAAAATTTTTCAGTAGTAATGTAAATTAGAGGTCATAGATAATGTTCCTTACAGATCCAAAATTCTAAGGCCTTATGGAGTGTAATGCAAAGAGAAAAGACTACCACATAAGTATGCATGGATATACATATGATTGCTTTAATTCTAGATTTATAAATGTAGGAAGATAGGATTAATGGAGTGTTTGTGTGCTTGTTTTAAACAGAGGTATTCTGAATGCATTTACAGGTATAAGGGACAAAAAGGCTGCAAAGAAATGAGATTGAGTATGCTTGATAAGGCAAACTGATGAAGCTAGGGACCACAGGAATAGGTGGGGATTCGAGCAAGAAGAAATGAGGATCTCTGGAGAGTTACACGGTTGAGGAGATACATTGGTACAGAATGAGGCGAGATGTTCAGAAAAGCAATAATATGTACTTTATATTTTTAAGTATTTTTTTTTCTTTTAAAATTACTTTATAAGATATGGGGCCAATGGCTGTGGGAATAGGGCTTGCCCCAGCATATAGGAGGCCCTAGGAAACACACACACACACACACACACACACACACACACACACCACACAAAACACACACTAGGACCTAGTTATTTTGTTCTGTTTTGTGAGATTCCCCAGAAAGAAAAAGCCAGGTAGGCTTACATTATACTGGATTCCACACGGTGTCGGGTCCATGACTTTATTAGGGGAGCATGAGGAAGAAGGATCTGTTGTAAATGTAAAAGGAACCTTACTCGGCTTCTTTATAAAACTTATGCCACACTCCATTGCCTTAGCTGTTTTTACTATAAAGTTGACAGAAATATTTAGATGTGAAGTGTATAAAAGATATGCATATTTCAGCTATTCTAATTTCTTTCAAACTATTTTCCCGAAAGTCTTTGAGAAACGAAATATTATTTTTGCCTAGGAAATGTTTTCCACAATAGTAGTCCAAAATCTGATTTATTAAGTTCCTAAGTCACCTTCATGGAGAAGGCACAGGTGAGAAAGTTTAGAATTATGTAAAAATGTTGCAAGTATGCTTTGAACTGTAAAAACACTTTCATAATCCTAAATTTTATTTCCAAAATCCAGAATCCTTATCACCAGAACACCTGCTTCCCTAAAATACATTTATGAGAGAGGTCTCTGTCTTTTTCATCTGAATCTTATATTTTTTTTAAAAGCAAATAATCCAAGCTGTGAGGTGACTTTAAATGATAAACTTTTATTCTGAATATACTGTTTTTGCACAAGATTTAACACAACATTTTCTGGGATTATAAATATTTTTATAACAGTATTATACAAATTTTTACAAAATGTTTTTATCAGGCTAGTTAATTTCCACAAAAGTGTCAAGAGAACATAAGAAAGGGGAGAAAAGAGCTATTGTTCACAAAAGCCACTTGGTCTTTTGCATGGATGCACACTGGGCATTTCATTAAAAGTTTCCCTAAAAGCATGATCCAACAATCATACAACACAACAAGAAAGATAATTTTGCCTGGTCATACTGTAAACTCGATTAGCATCTATACAAAACAGTATCCCATTAGTCTCGGTAGAATTTGAGATAATTTATTTTATGTGAACTTAAACTATAGATGTAACCATTGGTAAGGACAGTGTAATTCTTCAAACTTCTGGAATTTTTTAATACTTGATACTTTGGATTTGCTCTTTACAGAAATGTACAATGGATATTAACAATATTAACATTGGAAATGTTAACTATGAAAAACAATAGAATTTCCAAATAATAATAAAACAGTTAGAATTTGGGCATGTGAAAAAGTCACAAAATCCATTTTGTCTCCCTAGGTTAGATGCTATACCTTTAGAGATTTTAATGTCAATTAATATGATCAATAGGATAGCTTAAGAGTTTTAAATCAAGACACAGAATTTTAGCTTTGGTGAAGATAAGACAAAGATTTAAATGAGATGTAAAATACAAGAGAGCATCAAATAAGCAAGTAACACTTGGGTTGCAAAGGTCACTTAAAAGGGATACTGCCTATTTGAACCCCATAAGGCCAGTTTGAAGGTTAATAAAAGAATCTTACAAATAGGAAAACTTACAAATGGCAGCAACACTGTTTTGTTTTATTTTTCTCGAAGTTAAGCAAGAATGCCTCACACATTAGAAACATGAAAAAAGATCATACTAAAATCTTATAGGCCCAGAACCTAAATATCTTTTCAATCAAACTTGCTAACTATGTCATGTTAAAAACCTGTTACAAATATGGACCACGATTGGTGTTTGGCAGTAATGCTGGTTGTTCAAATGAAGAAAAGATAAAGAAACCAGAAATGCAAAATTCTTGTTATGCAACACCAATGCAAGACTTCTTCTGACTTTTAGTGACAAACTGCATTAAACTACGTGAGTATAGTAAAAATTAAATAAGTTAAAAAAAAAAGTTTAAAAAGCCTTTTATTTATCTCTTGTACTTTTCAGTCTTTGGAAGTCAATACTAATACCAGACTAAAATTAAAGTTCTTATTGACATAATTCACAGAAAAATAAAAAAATTTAGCATAATAATTTAATGGGATGAGTGTTACTGTCTTTGAACAACAAACAACAACAACAACAACAAAAACATGCTAAAAGCATGAAGACTAATATGTCATTAAGACAATCTTTAATCAGAGAACATGTTCTTACCCAATTTGTTACCATGTGTGTGGTTGTCACATCATAGTTTTATAATCAAATAGGGCCCTGCCACTAGATGCCAAGTTTAACTATGATTAATACAAAATAATGCAGTTGATGAAAACATACTATATAAATGACATTAGCTATGAAGATATATTTAACAGACTTTGAAAATAATTTTAAGGTAGTTTTGTTGTATGTATGCTGGAAGCAATTAAATTGTTTTAATGTGCGTTATTTATATACACAATCTAACAACATTATATTTTGATATTCCCTTTCCAACACTTTCATGATTTAAAATGGTCTAGCAAAAGTTAATAAGTTTTAAATATTTCATTAACAAACAACATGATTTAAACATATCATTATTAATCTTTAAATCACTTTGGTGTTTTCTAAAATGTCAATACCAGTTATGAATGGACTACAAAATCACGACAATGTGTTAGAAATGGTAACTGATGTCAATTCTTAGAACAATAGTTGGCAAAGTGATTCCATTCCCCCTCCCCCTATTTTAAATTAAAAAAAACTTAAATAAGGAAATATACACAAGTGGTACTTAAGATATATTAGTGGTAGAAGGGAATTACAAATGTATGCAAAGCTAAAAACAAATATATCTTTTAAACATTTCTAAAGAATTGGTTATATCTTTGATATGTGGAACATATTAAAACATGCTGGATAATGTAAATAACTTTGACATTAAAATGATATATAAGAAAATTTCCAGCATATACACACACCAGTATTTGGCATGTTTGGAAAACAAATGCATTTTACCATAAAAAATATCTTTATACTTTCAGCCTTCCATAAAATTATTCACTATTCCTAGAATTACACATTCATTGTTTTTATCCTTTCTTCAAATACTGTTTATTCCTGAAAATAATTTAAAAGCATAAATAATATTTTGCTACAATATTAATCTACAATGAAATATCCAATTTACTACACTAACCATTTTCACCAATGAGGCTGTATAAAAACAAATTTTATTCACAATCAAGTGTTCATGTGCATACATATAGATTCAAGGTTTCCTGTTTGTTCAGATTATTTGTAAAACCCTCACCAAATTCCATGGAACTGTTAGTTAAATGATCATATCATTTAAAATGGAGGGACAGAATCAGCAGCAGCAGCAATTTTCAGATTGTACATGCTACTATTGAAATGAACAAAGAGGAAACCTAGGATGAATCTTCATTGAGAACATATATGTACTTTTCAAAAATAAATGTGTTAAATCTGATTTATGTACTTAAAATATCTGTACATAGGTTTTCAGGCAAAAGCACGAATCTGTATAAAATCCATTATTTCTCATTTCACCGTTTACCTGACCCAGTCATTCAGCATTTACATTGCACAGTATATTCAGAGTAGTTTAACAACGTTTTTAAAGATGACTTAAGTGCATTTACACCGCAAGGTTCAGATTCTTACATGACAATAATGTCACTCAGTTAACTTTTCAATGGACTACACTCTACAGTAAGAGAAAAACCAAAAAGTTAAAATAGCAGCAGCATCATGCAAAATACCCTTGGTGACCCAAGTTCATTTGTCACAAGAAAAACATTCCCCTCCCCCCAACAAGCTTTTCTTAGAGCATTTTTAAATATCTGGCTAGCACTACATAACTGTACTGTGAACAAAAGGACATTACGTCAAAGCATTTAAGGGCTTACATTTATGAGGAAATAAGTCACATGTTCAAATTTCACCCACAAGCACCTTTAGTTTAATAGTTTCTCAGTTAACATTGTCAAACCATCAATTCATTACCTCACCAAAATTTAATTGGTCTTCAATTGTGTTTTATTTTTGGCAGAGAAGTCATTCTTCATAAGGCATTTTATTCATGGCTAATTTTTGGCAGAAAATTAGTCATTTTTTAAAATATTTCAACAGTTTAGATCAATGTTACTACTTTCTTTCCTGTCCTCCCTCACTAACTACTCAAAGCAGGAATTCTGAACAGAAGAATAAGTGAAGCAAACATAACTCCCTGCCACCCCTAGTGACTTTCTTGGTAAAATTGCAGCAAGTTGAAATTCCAGGTCAAAATCAAGACATTTCTTATGATTCATAAACAATTGCATGGGGAGCCCTTTTACATGTAATCACCAACAAAGCAACAACAGACTCCCAAATTGTCCAATAGAGCACATATAGAATTTTGCTTTGATGTTATACATAGATGATGCAGCATTCACACAAATTTAAGGGTCTGACACCCTGACATGCAGCCAGTGGATATCTTATGAATCTGTGCCTTAGAGTTACGCATGGTACAGGCCCAGCTAATGTTCTGCTGATTGGACAGTTGACCCTATTTTAATGTAATTGAGGGCTCATGTGTTGGCAGGGTCTGGACTGGACTTATGACGATTTTGGTTTTAGGTCACAATAGGTAGTGTCTGCTGCCAGATACCAGCCAAAGTAGTAGGAACTGGAGTCCAAAGATAGACCACAAGGAGGGATTTAATCCAGAAACTCCTCCACAGTCGGTATAGTCCTCCTGTTGGAAAGAAAGGAAAAAATAAAATCTTGAAAAACATTTAGGGGGGCATCTTTCAGATAACCCATATGTAGTTCACTTTGAACTCACCTTGTAAAATTGCTCTAAATGGGATCCATATAAATAACATTCACCTAGATTTTATTGTTTAGCAATGTTCAGTAAAGCAATTTCCCTAGAACCATTTGACAAATGCTTTAAATTTTTAGTTGTAGATTCTAATGATTGCAAAAGAAAATAATAATCCTGTTTTCAGAAACATACCCATTTTTAAATAAAAAATATTGTGTCAAGGTACCAAAAATCCTATATATTTAAGAAGGCAAGAAATAAAAATAAAATTTGATAATGTTCTACCATTCCCAAGAATAATGATCTTAGTAACTGAGCACTACAAGGAAAAGTAAGTAAATTTTTTAAAAAAATTCCATTTACCATATTTCTTTTATCCAATTTCTAAGGGGAACATATGGTAGCTATGTTATACATGTACCTTCATCAAGCATTAAAGTAAAATGAAAAATAATGTATTTGAACCACAAATAATGAAAGGACATTCTGAAAATATACATCGGGAAAAGATAAGCTAGAAAGAGAGGTTGTTTTGTTTGGAGAACCATGAAATATTAGCAATGACTATACCTATTTAAATTCTCCAAAGTATAGTGGTGGCTTACTTGGTTCCCTAGTAATATGAACTTCTTTACCTTTTATTCCTGGGTTCTAGAATCTGAACATTTACCTTTAAATGTAGTGAACTTCATTGAAAAAAAAAAACTCATATGTAATCATTGTCATAAACATCTTTTAAGAATTCACTAATTGAAGGTTCAAAATGATAGGTTATATAAAAGAATGAACCAAAACATTTTCTTTTGTTCTTCCCTTAAGATTTTTACAAAGATTCTTAAGAACTTTGTTGTTGTTTTGGTTTACCAGAATAAACAAAGTGCCTGCCACTTGGTAAATAAATAGAATTTCTTTCTTGAATTGTGTCTGAAGAGTACAACTCTTTTCTCTTTATTCGTTTGCTAAAAAGAAGGCTGAGAGAAAATAATTTATAAAGGAAAACTTTAACTTTCAAAAGTATCTCCCAATCTAAGTAGAAGCATAAAATAATTCTTTGTCCAATGCTCTTGAAAGCTAGACAGCATGAGGACTGTACATAATATTCCTTTCTGGACATGTTTTCTCACATGTCTTTGGCTTATGCTCATCTTGAGCCCTGAGGAATGAAGCTGGATATTGAGACTTCTCAAACTGTGAGCCCCTACATAAAATTTTCCTTGCCTAAAATTGTTCTGGTCATTTCTTTTAGTCACAGCAGTGAAAAAGCTGCCCCAAACAGATCAGGCTAAAGATTCCCAGTCATCTGAGATTCCTCTTTTTCTCCAAGGTATCCATCAGCATAATGACTAAGTTCTCACTTCAAAATACATACCCACTGTCTCTCCTCTGACCATCTCAAGTTCCAGTCACCACCGTGCTTCTGCAGAAGTTGCTATACTTGTCTCCTTGCTTCTACTCTGCCTTTTTACAATCCCTTCTCCAAAAAGCATTCTTCTTAAAACCATAAATCAAATCCTTTCATACCTTGTTTAAAATTTCTCATCACTTTCAAAACAAAATCCAAATTCCTTACCAAGGCCTACAAAGTCTTATGTGGTCTGGAGCCTGGCTGCCCCTTCATTTTCCCACATTCTTCTCCTTTCCTCAGCCCTAACTCTATTCCTAAAACACTATCATTCTCTGCAATGGGCTAAGCACAGGGCCTTTGCACTGCTCTGTTTTTTGTTCAGGTACTGTTCCCTGTAGGTTAGGGTAACCACATAAAAAACAGGGTACCTGTTACATTCAAATTTTAGATTTAAAAAAAAATTGTATGTGTACATGAGTGGAGACATATATATCTCCCCTAAGTATCTCACACATACAGGAGTGGCATGATACACAGTAGGTGTGCAGCATTTGATAAATAATAGTAGGCACTCAATGAAGCAGTGCACATGCTGACTGGTTAATAAGGCCACAGACATAAAGTAATACTCAAAAGAAGACCTAATTGTCACTCAGCCAGGAGTACTCTGCAGTTCTGGCAAAGTATTAAAAACTGTTATATACATACAACTCATTTTCATGTAAAAGATGTATATTGGTTGAGGAAATTCTTATGAATACAAAACATATCTTTATATTCTAGAAATGTATTTTGCTCTCTGGCTCCTACTTCATTGTGTGTGTGTGTACACATACATACATATACCCCCCGCCATTTCCTCCATGTGATGATGAGATGTCTACCAACTTCAGAGGTGGTAGGTTAGATAAATTATTTGGAGTCCCTGTAGGCTGTATGTCGATTCACACTGAAAAAAATCTGACCCCTTAATTTCCGGATCATGTTTTACATGCTGCAATCACATGCAATAAGAACAGAAATTATGACGTGGAAGTAAATTATGAGATACATTTTTTAACCATTTTAAATCACAAATGAACACATTGTGGGAGGAAACAGTGTTTTCTGTCTTGTAGAGGCTAAAATTCCACTGAAACCATGACCAGATTAATCAGTATCATTTTAAAAATCATTTCAGTAGAAAATAATAGCTTGGTATCTTATTTCAGTTTAACTTTAAAATAGAAAAAGATGCAGTACACACACATACACTGTGTGTGTGTGTGTGTGTGTGTGTGTGTGTGTATGTGTGTGTGTGCTTAAAATAAGACTATGTTTTACTAGACTTCTCATATGGGACTTCTCTCAAAAGACTTAATAATATGTCACCCGAGAATTCTTTGTTTCTTTTCCTTCTCCATAACTTCTTGAAAGAAACATAACTCTAAAAATCTCTTCAATGTGCTGTTGTTAAAACTAAATCTTTCCCTGTGTTTCTTTCCACAACTGGAACCTGGAACAACTAATTGCACAAATAATAGAATTTTAATCTATTTAAATAAAGTGTTTCAGACAGTTAGCTAAGGATGTTTTGCTCTTTTCTGAATTAAAGACTAATTATTGAGTTCAGGTAAGTCTGTACTAAAGTCACCCTAAGCTCCAAAGAAAATATATGCTAAAAATTTTAAGGTAGATAGATACTATACATTAAATCCTTTGATAGCAATAATGCCCATAACACATAAGCTGTCTTTCTACATAGTATTTTATCACCCAACTACATAAACCCATGAGATAGGTAGAATGTGTTAAACTCTTTAAATGTAGGAAGATTAATAAACATATAGATATTTTTATGCATGTTCAATATTTATGTATCCATAGCATCCTTTTATAAAGTAAGGTTACATAAAATAAAAGTTTCTTAATGGAGAAATTACTGGCTTATTTTCTGCTTTAATTAACATCTTGATCTTTATTTACTTGCTGTTGTTGTTGTTCACCACTGAAATCTTCATGAAACCACTGCCGAAAGGTCTCATTTGAACACTTGTGTTTTAAAGAAGTCCTCATAGTGTGGAGGTTCATAATTGTATACCCACAATCCATATCCTTTTTGGACTACACAGGATACAAGAACGTTTCCTTTAAATGTTTCAAAGAGAGTCTATCTATACCCAACTGGCATGTGTTTTCCTTGTGCTGTTAAATACCTTTGGCTATATAACTGTAGAATAAGTATTCTGTCTTGGAAGGCAGATGTCTCAGGAAACCAACCATAGCTCAAATACTTTGTTTGCTAAGCAAAGGAAACTCAATTTTTTCTTAATCTTTTGTTGTTGTTGTTGTTGTTCTGGTTATGAAATTTACATAGAAAAAAAGTCAATGTAATTTGCTCTCATTATAGAAAAGGTGAGTAAAATTAATGCTTTCACTATCCAGTGATGAATTCTATGAATACCTTGGGTATTACCTTCTCAGTATTACTGCTATATTAGAACACATAAAATTAACAAATACATTAATTTGGATAAGTGCATGCGAGTGTACTGCATGATTTTGAAGCAGGCTCCCTATGAAGTAGGAGGCCCCTCTCAAATTGCAAACAACTTCCTCATACTGGGAGTGGAGGCTGAGGGGCTGGGCCTAGTTCTCCCTTCAAGAAAGCTGAGGGTGGAGATCAAGCCCCTCCTGAGCCAGTGTAGCACAGGCTAAATCTATATATGTATATCAACTCACTTTCATTTCTATAAATTTTAACTTTCTGTGTGACCCTGACAGAGACAATCTAACTGTTTCTCCCCAGTTTGAGCAAATTGCATATAATTCCTTCTTCCATCATTTACTTATTTCTTATGCAGGCAGGTGGCTGATAGCTATTATTGGTGTTTTGTCCATCTTATGTAACTGAGTACTTCTTAAGGGATTTGATAAAGTTCTATTTCAAATAGCTGCCTATATATCAAGATAGTGTGTACGAAGAGGGATTATTTAATTTGGGCCTTTTACCTTAATTAATAAAACTGGCTAAAATACCTTTGACTTGGAATATTTTTTTCATGATAAGGATTATCTTGTTATCCCAAAACAAATCAGGCTATTTTCTGAGAATCCTTCTACTCCTGAAGTCTCCCAACTCCCAGGAGCTCATTGCATTCTTAGTAATGGCCATATCTCCATCTAGTGGTTTCCTAATCAATGAATACCTAGAGACTGATGAAGAAAGACTACAACAGAAGTTGCTCTAGTAGCAGAATCATGATTATTCCAGAGCATCAGAAATGAAACCATGTAACAATAAATAGAATTCTGAACACAACATGCATCTCCCAAACACCTACTTATCTGCATTGCTTACATAATTCAGAAAGTACTATAAATATTAGTAAAAATGATAATTTTGGTTTAATAGAAGAAATATTTAATTGAATAAACTTAGAAATTAGAGACACTTATTTCAATAAGAATATCAATATTTGGGGAATAAAACTCTAAGTTAATTAAACTAGACCAGTTGATAAGAAAATCAGAATTAATTTCATGCTAGCATTTTAAAAAAATAAATTAGCTGCTGTTAGGTATTTCTCTTTAGTAAAAGTGTGCTATCATAAAAGCTGTATACATTTTTGTAAACAGTGACAATCTTTACACAAATATGTTATGAGAAAATGATTTTAAAATAAATATAGGAATTTGTTATGTTCTGTTTAGGATGAGAAACTTAGGTACCATTAGAAATCAGCAATTTACAAAATAATATTAGAGTTAGAATTTTAATAACCTTGCTTCAGGACATTATTGAGGATTTAGGAATATGGGTTATTTTCTAAAATTTCAAGTGAAAAACAAAAAGAAATAAAAATTAGAGAAAGTGACTGACCATCCACACCACATGAAAACTTGCAGTAAAATGAAGATAGGAGCTGACATCATGGTACAGGCACCACTCGTTGTGCATATAAGTTGATCCTATTAATAACGGGCAAAGTAGCAAGTACAGGGAAAGGAAAGAAAACACAGAAAAGAAGACATACAAGATGAGATTTCATGCAATTTGCTGGCAATTAGCAGTTAATGTGAGCCTCCATCCAGAGCAGATTCACAGTGACCATTGCAAATAAGCATTACCAAAATACTCCACTGCTAAAGAAACATATTATTAGCACACCAAGCTACTGAGCAAGAGCTGTACTTTCACACACAACCCAATACACAATTTATGGGAACTTGAATGGTTGGAAGTTTTTGTCTGAGTCAAATATTTTTACTTTGTTGGTCAAAATATACAGCCCTTAGAAGGAAATTGCTTTAGGGCATAGGTTTTGTATATTATTTTTAAAGTTCATCTGAGTAAACTGTCTTTGCACTGTTGAAGGTTGGTCACAAATAATTGATGAGTGAAGTTTCCCTAAGGAGTGACACTGTCCTTGGGCTCACAAAAATCTTTCTTTAGAGAAAGATTGTATGTGAGCAAGAATCCTGAAGGTGTAGTAGACAGAGTAACAGAAGTCTTCATGTCTGGATTTTATTTCTTACAGAGTAAAACTGAAAAAAAACTCAGTTATAATTCTGAATCATTTTCACTATCAAGATGAATAGTCAGAACTTATCACAGAGATATCTGGGATTTACTGGTTAACAGCTCTTGCATTTTTAATCCTATTCTCTACCACTAAGTTTATTTTCTTTGCCCCATTTTTAATTAATATTACCTAGTTACCTAGTATGTGTCTGTGAAAATACCTTATCCTCTGTGGAACAAATGTGGCTATGTATACACCTGAGTAGCTAAACCTATTCTAAATAAATAAATATTTTAAAAATAAACATTCATCAAGGGCTGTTCTGACATGCTATTAGAATAGCCAATTCATGCCCCATATGTACAGGCTCATTGTTGTGAGCAAGCCACTCACTACACAGATACAATCGAAAATCAGAATTGTAAAATATTATACTTAAAATCATTAAAATAAGTGGATATAGATTTTTATCTGGCTTTTGAGATTCCTAATAATGGAAATAATTTTAGCTGGATGCAGTGGCATATGTCTCTAATCCCAATGACTTGGGAGCCTGAGGCAGAAGGAACATAAGTTTGAGGCCAACCTCAGCATTCGAGCAAGATCCTGTCTCAAAATAAAAAGGTCTGGGGATGCATCTCAATGTTAAAGTGCCCCTAGGTTTAATAATAATAATAATATTTTTTTAAATAATAATAGTTTTTAAAGTATATTTTTAAAGTTTATTATATACATAGTAAGAATAGTATTTATTAGAGAAAGACACTTGAATTATAGCAAAAATAGTGACGATCATCTTTAAATAACATATATTAAAGATGCTTTGCAGTATTTCATCAAACTAATTCTGTATAACTGACCTGTTATATTTCAAATAATAGAGAAAAACATTAATACAATCTAGAGAAATAATACAAATCTAATATCTGATAGAATCAGAAACTATGTAAAACAAAGCAGGACATTAGCTATATAACAAGTTCTAAAACAGACTGAGTGAAGACTAAACACAAACTAACATAAATATCATAATCAAAATAATTTTTGTATTTTCAGGATTTAAATATAAATGAAGGTAGGCAATACATACACCATAAGTAACAGTCACTAGAAGTTCTTATTTATCAGAAAGTCTTTAAAATCATCAAATTTGTGACCTTAAATTATTAGTAAATTGACTGGAGTTGTGTTTGAAAGTACAATTTCTGTGGGAAAGACAGAGAGAAGAAGCAACTATTAAGTTTATGCTAACCATGGAAACTACTGAAATGAAAAATCTGAACTAGCAAGTACATCATGCTAATGAGAAAAACTATGAATAGGACATTGTGCTTGAGTTTAAATTGCAGCTTATCTCCTTAAGTTCTTGTGGACAATGACCATTAAGTTATAATGTTTTAATCCAGTGAAAGCATTGTCTTACCAGGACATTGTCATCGAAGCAGACCTCAGGCCCTTTCCGGTATCTGGGTCGTTTAACCATATCACAGGGGTCTGGACCATCCGCTAAAGAGACTCGTTAAGGACATTTTTTTTTCCACACAATTAAAAAAGTACAATGAAATGAGTTTATTCCCACAAGCAAGCAAGAGACATCTATGCCATCACTTTCATACAACACAATCAACCTGATAACTTGGGGATTTTAATGGTGTGTGAACAGCATAATCAGTTTGTACATTTAAACCACATTTTGGGTGAGGGAACCATTCTTCCCTTGTGGGGGATCATAGTACTCTAATGATCATAAACAACATGACAAGGATAAAATCATTAAGATGGTTTTGTGTTCTGAACATCTGACATCAAAGGATACAAGTCTGCTCAGCTTGTATAAGCAGCCGTGTGTCACAAGGACATGTGCCTTTGCTCTCCACCATTATGAATATTAAGTTGGTGTTCATAAGCTTTTCTACGTGAAAGATTCTGAAAAACAAATGTTAAAGTATCACATAAAATGAAAAGTAACTTTAGGGGGAAAGAATAGAAGTTTCCCCAAATTGTCACATATTAAAACGAGAAGCAAAATATGACTTTGAAACACAAAATATCACTATTAACAAATTAGTACAGCAGAATGAGTATGATTTTAGAAAAGAGATGACCACACTGTAATTTATAAGCATGGACATATTACCTCTTGCAAATTAATGGTAAATAACTATGGCAATTTTAAAGTGTTAGACTTCATTGCAAAATCTGTACTAATTCTTGTTGACATTTGGGGAGAAAAGTTTAATTTGTTATGTTTAAAGACCTCTCAAAGTTTGCCAAAGATGTCTTATTTTATAGGTAAGAAAACAAGGAGCACAAAAGTGCTGTGCCCAAGCTAAGGGCAGAATAAAGACTAGATTAATAATGCTCAGCAAACTTTCTGTGAAGATGGAAATGTTTTCTACTCTGTTCAATAGGGAATACTTTAGTCAAGAAACTATGAAGCACTTGAAATGTGACATGTGTGACTGAGGCACAGTACTTTAATTAATTTCATTTCACTTTAATGGAAATTTAAATAGCCACTTGTGGCTGGTAACTCCTACATTGGACAATACAGAGACAGAATCAAGAGCTTTAAATTCCATCCTATTTTAGCCATACCCTAAGGTGCATCTGTTCTCCTGTGCAACCAAAGTAAAAATGCAAAATACCACTAAAGAAATTTTATTATGATTACATATTTTTCCCTAGAAATGGAATTTCACTACTTTTTTCCCACTGAACTTGGAACACAAACATAAAGCAAATCAAAACCATGACTCAAATGTCTTGAATATATATATA